CAGACAATCTTTCCTTAAATAGTGAGGCTTTGTTTCATTTTAAAATAATTCAGTTTGGAAACCACTTCAGGAATGGTGCAGTAAGGACCTCCAAAAATATTTCCTCCATAAAAGGAATAAGAGCAGTGGCAAAAATTGTCAAAATCACCTTTTTCCAAACATTGGAAATGAATGCACAAATGCTTTCAGTAATCCATGGAGCACATATTTAAGAAAAATGGCTAAATCTTAGAAACACGATCTTTGTGACATTTTAAATTTAAATTAAAACTGCTGTATTCCCATCCTCTCTTTCCAGCTTCAAGGTAGCCCTGAAAAAACCAATAGCCTCACAACCATGGTAGCTGTGAAAACTAGCAGCTGACCAGTCACTGAAGGGGAAACACGAGTTTGAAGCGCCTTGAAAAGCTTCCTACTCAGAGAAGTGTTGTATTTGATCTTGTGTCTGTGTGTGTGTAACTGGTTGGGTTCAAATCCCAACTCCAGCTCTTTATCTTTTTTAACTTTAATTTTTAAATTTTTTATACAATTTAAAAAGTTAATTTCCATTTACAGTTATTACAAAATATTGGCCATATTCTCCGTGTTGAACGTACACCCTTGAGCCCACCTTACACCTAATAGTTTGTACCTCCCACTCCCCCCACCCCGACCTCTGTATTGCCTCTTCCCTTTCTCCCCACTGGTAACCACTAGTCTGTTCTCTACATCTGTGAGTCTCCTTCTTTTTTGTTATATTCACTAATTTCTTGTATTTTTTTAGATTCCACATATAAGTGATATCAGATAGCATTTGTCTTTGTCTGACTTATTTCACCGAGCATAATGCCCTCCAAGTCCATCCATGTTGTCACAAATGGCAACATTTCGTTCTTTTTTATGGCTGAGTAATATTCCATTGTATATATACACCACATCTTAATCCATTCATCTATCAATGGACACTTAGGCTGCTTCCATACCTTGACTATTGTAAACAATGCTGCTATGAACAGTGGGGTGCATGTATCTTTTTGAATCATAGTTTTCTCCAGATATATGCCCAGGAGTGGAATTGCTGAGTCCTATGGTAGCTCTATTTTTAGTTTTTTGAGGAACCGCCACACTGTTTTGCATAGTGGCTGCACCCATTTACATTCCCACCAACAGTGTACCAGTGTTCCCTTTGCTCCACATCCTTGTCAGCATTTGTTATTTGTGTTCTTTTTTTAACATCTTTATTAGCGTGTTCTTTTTAATCATGGCCATTCTGACAGGTGTGAGGTGATATTTCATTGTGGTTTTGATTTACATTTCCCTGATGATTAGAGATGTTGACCATCTTTTCATATATCTTTTGACCATCTGCATTTCCTCTTTAGAAAAATGTCTATTCAGGTCTTCTGCCCATTTTTTAATCAGGTTGTTTGTTTTTTGATGTTGAGTTGTGTGAGCTGTTTATATATGATGGATATTAATCCCTTATTGGTCATATCATGTGCAGATATTTTCTCCCATTCAGTAGATTATCCTTTTTGTTTTGTTTCGTTATTCGATCTGTCTTGAAAATCCCTGGAAAATCTCCATTCTCAGGGCTTGTCATTATTTGACCTGACTCTGTGTGAACGTCTCTATCTCACAAGCACCCGTCAAAAACAACAATCATTTAATACCACAGTCGCCTGCGGGGAGGACGGCAATACAAGTTGGGGCAAACAAGAAGCTGACCAAAAATCTTTAAGGAAAAAACTGAGAAATGACATGTCTCTAGAGGATTTCAAAAAGCTCTAACATATGCCTAGAAATCTAGAAGGCTGTGCACACGTGCAGTGCTGTGCACATGCCCAGGCAAGGCCCCAGGAGGTCCTAATCTCTGGCCTTTGGCTGACCTTGAAGCTCCATGAAAGCAGGAAACTAAGGCTAAGGCACAGTTGTAAACTGTCTGCTGGGGCATTGAAGGTACGCCTAGACACAAAGACCAGAAAACACATGGATTTGAGGCATTTAAGGAGATTTCTGTCCAATCATTAGCTGACCACTAAGCTGACCAAGCAGAAAATTCAGGGGGCACACATGACAGACTTTAAACAATTAGTCCAGGAAAGTAAACAACAGCAACATCACCACCACCACCGAAGAAAACAAACAAAAAGCAGCAAAAAACAACAACAAAGGGGGAAAAAAAAACCAAAAAGCAAGCAGGAACAACAACAATGAGAAAATCTCATTTCCACAATTGGCACAGTATATTATTTCTAATGTCAGTTTATCAACAGAAAAATTATGAGACAAACAAAGGAACAGGAAAGTATGGCTGATACACAGGGAAAGAAAGCGGTCAATAGAAACTGTCTCCAAGGAAGCACAGATATATTTAGCTGACAGAGACTTTAAGTCAGCTATTTCCAATGTGCTCAAAATACTAAGGGAAACTGCTTCCGTAGGTGGTTAGGCTGTGCCAGAGGATAGAATAGAACGTGAGCGTGGCCAAAGTTAACAGGCAGGTAAGTGCCAGCCAGGGAAGTGACCAGTGCATGACTCAAGGTCACTGAGAGCAGACAACAGGCATCCAGGCTCAAGTGGTACATTGTTTACCTACCTCAAGAGGAGAGAGTACACAAGATCCATCTCCTTGCAGTGTGGCAGACCCCCATGGCTCGTGGGTCCACTTGGCAGCTGCAGTGGGCAGCGTGGCTGCATTCACCTCACTTTGTGCCACAGTAGAAGGACCCCAACTCTTACCCCTTAGAGTCTGAAATACACAAAGTTGGGGATGTACCTATGGGCCATTTACGCATGCATAGCTAAGCGGTTCTGAGAAAGTTTACACATGCTCAAGATAAAGGGAACAGGTACGTACTGACTGCGCTCTGAGCTCTTTTCATGCAGTGCGACTTGTGAGCTTGCCAGCATGTCCTGTACTGAGCACAGAGAGCTTCTTGGGAACAGAAGGGAAGGGATGGACTGAACTTGGACCCTCCCCTCACAGAAACCATGTCTAAAATATTAAAGGAAAGTATGAGAAGAAGATCTTGACAAACAATATCAATAAAGAGATAGAAATCATACATATAAAAAAGTAGAAATTCTGGAGTTGAAAAGTACAATAACTGAAATAAAAAAATTCACAGTGGGAGCTTAATAGCAGGTTTGAGCTATCAGAAAAGAATCAGTGTACTTAAATATAGATCAACTGAGATTATACATTCTGAGAAATGGAAAGAAAAAAGAATTTTTTAAAAATGCACAAGGAACAGAGCTCTGAGACTGTGTACCAACATAGCATCATGGGAATCCCAGAAGAAAAAGAGGAAGAGAGAAAGGGGCAGAAGGAATATTTGAAGCAATGGCCAGAAGCACATCCCAAATTTGATGAAAAACAGTAACTGACACATTCAAGAAGCTCAACAAACTCCCAAGTAAGACAAGCTCAGAGACCCACACTCAGATACATCATAGTCAGACGGTCAAATGGCAAAGACAAAGAGAGGATCTTGAAAGCAGCAGAAGAAAAATGAGTCACTGTATACAAGGGATCTTCAAGATTAACGGCTAAATTCTCAGCAGAAATAACGAAAGCCAGAAAGCAGTGGGATGATATATTCAATGTGCTGAAAGAAAAACAAGTTAACCAAAAAATTCTACATCCAGCAAAACTATCCTTCAAAAATGAAGGAGAAATTAAGACATTACAGATAAAAAACTGAGAGAATTTTGTCCCTAGCAGACCTGCCCTACGCTAAATGCTAAAGGGAGTCCTCCAGGTTGAAACGAAAGGACAATAAACAGTAACTCAAATGCACAAAATAATTAACAAGCCAGTGGTAAAGGTAACCGCATAGGTAAATTTAAAAGTCAGGATTAATGTATTTTGGTTTTTAACTCTTTTATTCCTATATGATTTAAAAGACAACTGCATAAAATTATGCAGCAAAAGATATGAATAGACAGCTTTCCAAAAAAGATGTACAAGTGGTCAATAAACCCATGGAAAGATGTTTAACATAATTCGTTATTAGAGAAAAATGCAGATGAAAACCACGTGAGATACTGCTTCACACGTGGATGGTAAAATAAAAAAGAGGCAAGAACAGGCGTTGATGAGGATGTGTAGAGATTGGAACCCTCCTACGCTGCTGGTGTTAGTGTAAAATGGTGAAGCCATTATGGAAGACAGTTTAGTGGTTTCTCAAAAAGCTAAGCATAGAATTACCATACAACCCCACAATTCCAGTCCTAGGTAGAAAAAAAGGTGGAAACAACCCAAACATCCATCCACTGGTGAACAGATAAACAAAATGGAAGATTACTTGGCCATAAAACAGAATGAAGGTCTGCTGCTTACGTGAAGGTAAGAAGGTAAGAAGCCCCACGAGCTCTCTTGGGTGACAACAGCCTTCCACAAGAGACGGCAAATCCTTATCCTACGATCCTTCTGGTCCTTTCCCCCAGACCTGGCCCGTTACCATGGGGAAGCCGTCCTCGGATAATATTCCAATTAAGGGGAGTTGGAACGGAGACCGTGATTTCACTGGGGAAAGAGAGTGAAGCCTGGATCTTTCCTCCCACGCACTGTCCAAAGTCAGATTCTGTCATCGCCAAGCTGGCTTTTCCCTGAATCTCCCGAAGTCTCAAACCCGACAGGCGTGTCCTGCAGGAGAACTCAGGGCCTCGGCCTGCCCCCAAATCCCCAGCATCTTGCCTACTCGGCTCTAAAGGATGCCAGGAGCAGTCGTGGTACCAGGGTGATATCATCAACAAGCTTCCTGGAGAAAAGTCCACCTGGGCAGGTAAGTTCCCTGCATCTCCAGCAGCTGGATGTCTAGGGGAGTGGAGAGGCAGAGTCCAGAAGCTTCTCAGGACACTGGCTGAGGGCTCAGGGCCTTAGCCTTCCCAAGCTCCGTGGCTAGAAATCATCACAGTCACAACAGACGCAGACAAATCTCAGCTATCTGAAAACTGGTAGCCTTATTTCTAACAATTCTCCAATTTGAGAACCAACCGATTTGTTCCTATTTCAGGCAACCGAATCCTTCTATTATGGATGCAGAAGAAAGCTTCAGTCGTGGTTTTATTGCCTGGCATATGGGTGATTATGAGGACACCAATCAAAGAAACTCCAAACGGGCCATCCTCCTTCGGCAGAGCCAGGCAGCATTGCCAAGAGTTTCCAGACCACCTAAGCTGCCAAAGCTACCAGAAGAGCAGGAGGTACAATCATTTGCTTTTCGGAACCATCACAGAAAAAGTCAAGCTGTTTTAACGTGTGAATTAGAGAATGCTATTTAATAGCAATACTGTAGCTCCTTTCAACCTATCAGAACGTTTTGTAATTCATATTGGATTTCCACAGTGATGTCTGTATAGTGACTGGGTGGGTATTATTCCCATTTTATAGCTACAGAAAACAGGAGGTGTGGGGCTCAGTCCTTAGAACCGCTTATTTATCACATGGTTTAACCTGGAGAGCACAGCCATCTGCTCGGTTTCCAAAACCTGAGAAAACTCTCAGTCTGTGAGATGGAGGTAACTCTATAACGCTTCTTAAAACCCCACAGACAGGGCTTCCCTGGTGGCGCAGTGGTTAAGAATCTGCCCACCAATGCAGGGGACACGGGTTGGAGCCCTGGTCCGGGAAGATCCCACATGCCACGAAGCAACTAAGCCCGTGCGCCACAACTGCTGAGCCTGTGCTCTAGAGCCCACGAACCACAACTACTGAGCCCGCAAGCCACAACTACTGAGCCCGCGAGCCACAACTACTGACCCCACGTGCCACAACTACTGAGGCCCGCGCACCTAGAGCCCGTGCTCTGCAACAAGAGAAGCCACCGCAATGAGAAGCCCGCGCACTGCAACAAAGAGCAGCCCCCACTCGCCGCAACTAGAGAAAGCCCACGCGCAGCAATGAAGACCCAACACAGCCAAAGATATAAATAAATAAATAAGTAAATAAATTTATTAAAAAAAATAAAAACACCCCACAGACTGCCTAGCAGAGTAAGAGTATACCAGTTCAAATTCAAGGTTTTTTTCCCCATTACTATGTATGGAATCTTGAACAAGTTGCATATTTCCCGATGTGGGTTTTTTCATTAGTAAAATGGGGATGTTAGTATCTGTCCTGAATATTTTGTAGAGTTTTCATGAGACTCAAGTGAAGAGTGTGTAAGCATGTATTCAAACGAACAACTATTTCCTGAGGTCCTTCTGCATAAATACCAGAGCGAATCCACTCTGTAGTCATCCAGCGTTTCAATATTGAGTGTGACAACAAGCTTCCATGATAGAAAAGGGAATACACTCAGAGACTGCTGTTCCCTACATGGAGAGAGGCTCCTTGCTGCGCTGGAGAATCTTCCCACTGCCCTAGAATATTGCTTACCCTCTGTCGCCAGAGATCTGTTCATCAGGAGATGTCTGTTTGACAGTTAATTGTATATCCATCTGAAACACTCTGCGAGGAGCCGTGGACGTCCTCCTTGGTAGGTCCTGCCCCAGGGATGCTCTGTATTGAAGAAGGTAGCGTTCAGCTGCTGACATTCCTATGTGGTCTGAATTTTGAGCTGGGTCCACGTGAGATTTATTGCAGTGTGTGTAAAGGAGTCTTGGATTAGTTATTTTCCACCTGAACTAATTCTGTGTAGGATTAGAGAGCTCATGGATTAAACCGTCCCAAATTCCTCCTACTATCTATCATTCACTAAATCCAATTGAGATGTCTTTGTGCATTAAAAAAAATCCGTTAAAAGGCTGATTTTGAAATGGTTTCAAATTTACAGGAGCACAAGAACAGTACTAAGTGAACTGATACACTCGTCACTCAGAATCATCAGTTCATTTTATTCTAATGCATTCTTTCTACACACACACACACACACACACACACACACACACACACACACAGACACTGGTTTTTACTGAACCATTTGAAGGTAAGTTGCAGACGTGGTTTTGCTTTACCCCTAAATATTCATGGTGCATTGCCTAAGAACAAGGACATTCTCGCACATAACCATGGTACAATGATAAGATCCAGGAAATTTAGCACTGATACAATATTACCTAATCTATAGTTTATAAGCAAATTTTATTAATTGACCCAACGATGTCCTTTGTCACTTTTCCTGATCCAGGATCCTATCCGGGACCAGGTATTACGTTTAGTCCTCAGACCTCACTAGTCTCCTTCAATTAGGAACAGCTCCTCAGTCCTGGTCTTTCATGACACTGACATTCTTGAACAATTCAGACCAGTTCTGTAGAATACCTCTTAATTCAGGTTTACCTGCTATTTCCTCGGGTGATGTGTTTTGGGCAGGAATCCCAAGGTGAGTGATGCCGTGTCATCCTCAGGGTATCACATCAAAGAGGCACTTGACGTGAGTTTAACTCATCATTGGTGAGGGTAACTGATCACTTGGTTACACCTCTTCCCTTTCAGAGATAAACAAAATACTGTATCATTCAAAATAAACTTTTTTATCAGCTTAGGCTTTCTTTCTTTTTTAAACCGAGGAGCTCTAGCGCCGCACAGCAGCCTCGGCGCGAGCACGTACCGGGCGGTGAGGGAGCGCGAGGGCGGGGCGCGCGACCGAAGCCTAGCAACCCCTTGACACGCGAGTGCCGCAGCCAATCCCGCTGCCCGCTCCGCGCGCCGCCGACCGGCCGTCCCCGGGACGCTCGCTTCTGCCTGCGTCGGCTGCCCCGCAACGCGGCGCACCCGCGCACCGGCTTTCTTCTTAATTCCAGAGAGAACCTTAGAAACTTGTTACCCAAGTCCATCCTTTGGATCATCCCACAGGGTTCTCGTGGCTGACACTTCACTAAGTACTCAAGCCCTCCCCCCCCCACTTTGCATAAATTCTCTTCGGAGAAGATAATTTGGAGCAAATGATAAATTCAAGCTTCCAGCGTAAGCCTCACACCAGCCACCTATGCGTGGCTCCTGTTACTGTACTCACCTGAGATGCAGCCCATCTGCCATCCTCGTGCTGCGAGAATCAGAACCATGCACTGGAAGCAGCCTTGGAAAAACAAAACTTTGCCAGTGGTATTGGGGGGTTTGGGGAAAACTTTAAACACATAAACCAACCCACAATATCACAATGCTTTCTCATCGAGATAGATAGTTTAAAATGGGGATATTTTATATTCACGTTGTTGAGTTTGGATTTATTCTTATAAACCTAAGTTTAGAGATTAATTTCTGAAAGTTTCTAAAACTTTCTAGAAGTGCAATTTATGGTATTTAACAGTATGTATAATTCTTGTATACATTACCCGAAATGCTCTTAGAAATGATTTTGGAAATCAATTGGGCAAATTTCTAAACTGTCTTTCTACATTTCCCCAAATTTCTTCTTTTAAGTCACAAAGTGTCTCTGAAGTTCTATCTTCTATTACATTTGTTTTCCCTTCTTTTGGTTGACCTTTTTTTCTCCACATAAATAACAGCTACTTAAGTGTTGTGAAATGTATGTGTGTGTGAGACAGTTTCAACATCGTGATCCATTTCTATTTCATTTCTTTGCTTGCAAATATCTTCCTTGCCCCCCTTGCTTCCAAAACATGGACATAATCTCAGTAATTGATATGTTCTTTCCCTCACCCACTCACTCACACTGGGTGTGGGAGTAGTGATTCTCAAGATTTTAATGTGCATATGTGTCATCTGGGGCTCGTATTAAGGTGAGATCCTGGTTCAGTCGGTCTGGGACAGGGTTTGAGATTCTGCACATCCGTCAAGCTCCCGGGTGAGGCAGCTCTGGTTGATCCAGGGATGCCGAGTAGCAAGGCGCTGGAGGATTTGCCCCGAGCTGCATTTTGCGCCAGAACAGGGGGGCCTTGATGGAGCAAAAGGGAGTGGGAAACCAGGACGAAGGATTGACAGGGCACAGGCAGTGATCAGCTAGCGCCCTTAGGTAACCAGCAGCCTGCAGAGGTGGGTGTCTGGTGCTGAGGCCAGAGGAGGGGGCTCAGGTGCTGAGGAGCTTGGATTTTCCTGGGCCAACTTTTAAACAAAAGTGACAGGATTAAACTTTCATTTTGGGGAGGTTAGTTAGACATCAGCCTGGAGGCAGACTGGTGAGAAGTGTTGCTACAAAAGGGAGGTGAGTTTGGAGGGCATTTTGGTAACTCAGGTGAGAATGAGGAAGGACTGAAAGAAGGTAAAGAGCAAGGAGAACAGGTGATGCACTTGGCACCCAAAGAGTGCAAGTTCAGCAGCTCTGGGTCCTGACTGATGTGGGGAAAGACCTCAGTAACCATGGGAGGAGCCAGGGGAGGCTGACGGACCTGACCTTGTGAGGTGAGGGGTGGAGGCAGGGGCCTAGGAGAAAGGTCGGTAGACTGAGTGCTTGAAGGCGAGAGAAAGGGGTGATGACTGCTGGCCTGAGGCCCCCAGGGACACAGAGGGCGAGGCACAGCAGTGGGGATTAATCTCCTCTCTCCCACCACGAATGAGCTGGTACCTCCTCCTCTGTTGTCTCAGAGGTTGTCCTAATTTAGGCTCTTCCTGTTCTCCAGCACCCCCTTTGCATCCCATGTTCAGAGACTATGTGACTTATCTAAGCGGAAACTCTGAAGTCTGAACTCTTCTCTATGTTAAAGATCTTTGCTTCAAAGTCAACCTCCAATAACCTGGTGTGACGATATTCTGACTCCCAACTGCTTTGTTGGGTCCTCATGGATGTCATTGGACCGATATCTTAAGTACCTATGTTAGTCAGGGTTCTCCAGGGAAACAGAAGCGACAGGACGGATGGATGGATGGATGGACGGACGGACGGATGGATGGATGGAGAGACAGATGAAATGGATAAAGGGACAAATGGATGGGTGGGTGGGTGGGTGGATGGATGGGTGGGTGGATTGATGTAGAGATAGATAGATGGACATGAATGAATGAAGGGACAAATGCATGGATGGATGGGTGGTGGATGGATGGACAGATGCATAGAGACAGACAGATGGATAGCTTTCTCTTAAGGAATTGGCTCATATGATTGTGGAGGCTGGCAGATCCCAAATCTGCACATAGGCCAGCAGGCTGGAGACCCAGGCAAGAGTGTGAAGGCCGTGGGGAGGCCGAATTCCCTCTTTTTCAGGGGATCTCAGTCTGTCTCCTCTGAAGTCCTTCAACTGACCGGGGAGATGCCCCACTGTATGGAAGGTAACCTGCTTTACTCAAAGCCGACTCATCTGTGTTGCTGTCATCTAAAAAGCCTTCACAGCAACATCACACGGGTGTTAGACCAGGTATCTGGGTACCGTGGCCTAACCAAGGTGACACGTAAGATTAGCTGTCATAATACCCACCTCATCCAGGTGTGAGGATCAAATGAGGTGACGTATATCAGGCATCCGACAGAACCAAGAAGCAATGTGGTGTGTATGTGTGTGTCAGGGCTTTCTCAATGGCGTGATTTTAAAGGGAACATGAAAACCACTTGAAATTCACCTTTAATCCAAAAAGGATTTAGCAATACCTAATATTACTCCTTCCTGTAGTCTGCAAACAACAGGATTCAGTATGCTCTTATGTAGCTACAAAAGTTACACCTCATAGCATATGTTTCCTGAGGCCGTATGTATCAGTGATACATTTCATAGCAAATATTTTGTAATGCCCTTTATTTTCCTAAAATAAAATTCATAAGATTCATCAACAGAATAACCTTACACACATAACTTATAGCAAACCACTATAATGCCCTAGTTGTACTATTTGACAACTTATATTAACATATACTTTAATACACAGACATTGGGGCACTAGTAGATTAGAAAATATAATGAACGAAGCAGATACTCACTCCTGGATGGAACCTCCACGAAGGCAACCGCTACAAGCAGCGATGATACACAACACTGTGCTGGTGACAGACTTCATGAGGAGCACAGCTACGGGTAACAGGGTTTTCCAAATGGATGTCAGTTCTTGCTGAAATCCTAAACCTTACAAAGTAAAATCTCGCCTCAGTTTATATACAACAGTGGCGTTCCTGGAAAATTCAGCGTATAGTAAGCGCATGAGAGAAATGCGTTGTGCTTGTATGTGACGCAAAATTAAATCCTCAACTTAGATCATTATAAACTAAGGCTTTCACCCCCCAGAATGTCAGCAGGGTATTTGTGAGTCACACGGGAGGTGGGATAACTCCTCATTCCGGGGTGCCCTGCACGTGACAAGATGTTCTCCTATCCCCCTCAGCCCCTGCCCACCCTGTGCCAGGAGCCCTCGCCCATCACCATGCTCACCAAAGAGGCCCTACGTTTCCCAAACAGCCCTGCTGAGAGTCACTGACATATACAGTGGGCTTGTGTCAGCATGAATTACTGGAAATGAGACGTCTAAGTCTGATTAAGCCTAACAAACAAATCATAGGCAGTACCAGGAAAATGTTCAAGATAACTTCAGAAGGTTTATTGCACCAAATGCCACATAAGAATGGATCAAAATGATATGTGAACAAGTCTGAAGAAAAAAATTTCCATACATTGCCATTGATACCTATTTAACTGATCAAAAACATAAAGTCCTACCAATTTGTCTTAATGGAACTTCAGTAGTAACAAATCAATCCCAGAATTTTCTCCTTTTTAAACACCACTTAAATTTAAGCACATTGCAATCTTGCTTTCAAGATATACGGTTCACCAAAGATGGACATTTAAAAATTAACATTCAGAGGGGGCTGCTTGATTTAGGCAAACAGTATATTAAAAGGTCCCCTCCCCCAAAGCACAAGAGGAAACAAATGGTTCACATTTACCGAGAAGCTAAAGGCTTTTTCAGTTTATTGGTGAAAGTATGCATGAACAAAATACTTTCAAAAGTATGTGTCAGTGGAAAAATCCAGATATTTAAAAGAACCGTGGGGTCACTTTATATTCTTTATTTTTATGTACAACCAACTCTAGTGAGGAACCTAGAAAGCTACAGGCTGAATTTTATAAAATCTCAGGACCTAATTAGAAGGGCCTAAACAACAGTTTAGTATCGTTTAGCAGGCAGGGATTTTCATCCCTCGAAAAAAGTTAACTTTGAAAAATACGGAAAGTTTAAAAAGTTGCGATGTGTAAACGGCAGTTCCATGGGACGTGAAAAGTTTGGAGTTACTTTCATTAAAAAACAGCACACTTCAGAAAAATGGATTGAAGCCTATACAAAAAGCTATTTAACACTGATAAAAATAAAATACTTTGGAATTATGCACAAGTATGGAAGCTACATTTTAAGTTTTCATTGTCATGTTTAAACGTACACAATGATCTTTACATTCGTATCACCCGTCAGTCTATGAAAAATAAAACCGCAACATGCTAGAGAGAGGCCCATCACGGTCACGCAGGCACACACCGCTCCGTCCTGCCTCCCAGCTTGCGTGGAAAAGCAAGATGCTACAAAAGGTGCACTCAACAGGTAAGACGTCAAAGTTGAAGAAACCCTAAAGGTGGAATCCTGTCAACTGAGGTAGTTTTCTCTATTTGTACTTTTTTTTTTTTTTTTTTTTTTTTTTTTTTTTTTTTTTTTT